AATGCTCTCGATATTGTATTGCCGGTGCTGACAAATCCTCTGTGGTCCGATCAGGCTGCAAGGAGATGCTCCAATTTCTCCTTTTTTTCAATGCAGAGCTCCCTGACAGAGGAGAGGAGAGGAAATGCCTTCGCTTTGAGGCACTGGAGGTCTTGCCAGTTTGCTGCGATAAGCATTCAAAGGAAATATTCTGTATTTCTTCTCTGTATTTTCCCTCTGTATCTGTGCCTGCTGGAGCTGGCCCCTAGGTTTGGGCTGCTCCACGTCCCACGAGGCCCGTGCCCACCCCGAGTGCCTCTGCACCGGCTCCTTACACAAACAAACCTGGTCTTTTCTGCCAAGTCATGGCCGGAGCAGCGGTGTCGTCACTCTGGGCTTTACGGCGTTATTTAAGAGGGCATTTCCTCTGTGGGGAAAAGGGAGAGAAAACGAAAGTTGTGCCTGGTTTCCCGGAGCGGGAGGTGCTTTGTAGGAAGGTACAAGTGCTGATTTCACCGGGCAGTGAATTCCCTGGTTGCTTCAGGGCCAGGCGGGTGCCAGGGCGATGCCTCACGCCAGGGTTAATCCTGCTCAGCAAACTGCCTTGAAGTGCTGGGGAGCAGATAAAATATTTCAGCTGTTGGCTGGCTGCGGGGAAACATCGATGCAGCGCAGCCAAGGTCGCGCTGTGTGTCGGGGGCAGAGGGAAATCCAGAGCTGCGGGGTTTGGGTGCTGCTCCTGCAGCTGGACTGTACTTGCTCTGCCCCTCTGCTGTGGGAAAAGGTGAGAACTGGCCCTAAAAAGGCTTTTTCCTGTGTAACCAAACACTAATTAAACTCAAAGAGCAGCTGGTTTTCAATTTGCTGTTGGAAATGTGCTGCTTTCCTACAGGAAACCTGAATTTCGGGATATTAATGACTGGGGTTGGTTGCGGCCGAGCAGAGCCCGTGGAAGAGGCGGGGGGTTGTGGATGGTGCAGAAAGCGGCGTTTTGGGCACCTGGTGTGGAAATGTTTTGGTTCCAGTGATTCTCTTCCTCTGAAAGAGAAACTGAAAATGCTTTAGTTTGGGGAATTGTTTGCTTCAGCCCCTTGCACCATTCCTGAGCATGGCGAGGTCGGTCTGCGGTGCCGCTGTCAAGGCACATCAAGGCAGACGGTGCCCCGTGGACCTCTCATATTCACAGATACACCCACACAATGCAGCGTAGAGATGCCCAGAGGTGCCGTGGTACTCATCAGGTGAGGGTGGAAACCCTCGTGCAGCACCCGGCTGTGGTGGCTCTGCTGTACCCTCAAGCACTGCTGGTCGCACGTGTGTTTTCTTCGAGTGGTGAAGACCCCCTTGCAGCTTCAGCCTCTTGTCCCCTCCTAACACTGCGGGGTTGTGGATGTGTGCGCTGGGCATTTCTCATGCTGTTTAGGCTTGTTGTGTTTGGTAGCTGCTGAAAACACAGCTGTCCTGGCCAGCCTGGTCAGTCTCCAAATTAAATTTGGAGATCGGTGTGTTAAGGCCGTCTTGTGATGGTAGAAGGGAGTTTCTGGAGGACTCCTCTGGAGTCTTCTCCCTCCTTTTCCCTGGGATGTGCTGCGCTTGAACTGTCCCATCCTTGCGATGGCAGTCACAGTAATGACAAAAAGTCCTTTTCCACGTTGCAGTTGATCTCCCTTATGATGGGCAGCTGAGGGAGCTGGGGCTCTTGAGCTTGGAGCAGAGGAGACTGAGGGGTGCCCTCATTCATGGGGATCCATTTGGAAAGGGCAGTGTCAGGAGGAAGGAGCCAGGCTCTGCTCTGGGATGTCCATGACAGGACAAGGGGCAATGGTCCCAAGCTGGAGCACAGGAGGTTCAAGCTGAAGATGAGGCCAAAGTTTGTGAGTGTGAGGGTTATGGAGCATGGCCCAGGCTGCCCAGAGAGGTTGTGGAGTCTCCTTGTGTGGAGACACCCAAAGCCCTGGGCGTGTTCCTGTGGGACTGCTCTGGTGATCCTGCTCTGGCAGGGGTTGCACTGGGGGAGCTTTCCAGGTCCCTTCCACCTCCTCATATTCTGTGATTCTGTGATTCCATAAAACCCTGAGCCTCTCCTAACCACGCTGGTGCACCCAGACATCTGTAAGTTGACTTTGCTGTGGCCCTATGATGGGTACAGGAGGTCCTGTACTGTAATGGGAGCTCAGAGCTTGAGCATGGCGTGGGTCATGCAACAGCGAAGCCTTCTCTGCCCTGGTCACTGCAGAAATGCTGCTTATTTCCTGGTAGAAGCATGTTGTGTTCTTGGTGTCTTTTGTGAGCTGCAAGGAGACTGGACTGGTTGTCCCTCACATGAACTTGGGGAAAGCATGCTGTGTTCAGGACAAAAAGGAAAGGCAAATTGCATCTGAGCTTATTTGTACAGCGGCGCGTCAAATCAGTGACCCTTTGCGAGAACAGGAGAAACCAGAGGCTTGATGCTTGTTGGTAAAACTATTCTCAATAGAAAATGACCCTGGGCTGGGACTGGCATCTGCAGAGCCAATGCAGGGAACTTGGTGAAGCCAAAGCTGTGACTTTTGGTGGTGCTGCTTGTGCCCGGGATGCTTGCGGTTGTCAGAGCGCCTTATGCAACGAGGATGAATCGAGGTAGGTGGAGAAGTGGTTTTTTTGGCTGGTTGACAGTGGGTGAGGCAGCTGGAGGAGCTTGCTGCCTTCAGATAGGGTGGCAAAGCCAGGGTGGTGAGGTCTGCATAGCTCATGGCAAATCCTCCTTGTTCACGCCACGATAAACTTATCCTGGGTGAAACAGAGCTCAACCTGCAGTCACACAGGGGATCGTGTTTTTGGTTACTGCCTGGGCTGTTTGTCCTGTTTTGTCCCTTTTCATGGGAGGTGCACGGACCTGGCATGGTGGTGATGCAAACTGAGGCATACATGGGTTAGGTGGGTCCAGCATTCGCTGTCTGCCCACACTGGGGTATGGTGTGAGCTTTTAAACCCCTCTGGAATGGCTCAGATGATGAACATTAAAAAAATAACCCCAAAATCGGTGTTTATCCACGCTCATGTGAGAGCAGCTGATTGGTAAGGGTGGAGATGCTCAGGGTCGGGTCCTGACAGCGCAGCACCACGCGCCTTGGTCCTGGCTGATAATTAATTGCTCTAGAGGAGCCCTTACCCCTAATTACCTTTCTAACGAGGTGATGCTGCTGCATGTTTAAAGGCTTCGAAGGCATCCCGGCAACAGAGCGGGGTGAGATCGAGATCTCCTGGGGTCAGAGCTGGAGTCTGAAGCAACACCTTCAAGTTCAAACTAGCAGAGCAAAATCCCAAAAGGCACAAAGCCCATCTGGATGCGCCCATCGGCGCTGGATGCTGCTGAGTCACGCTGACAGCAGCGGGAGTTTCTCCGGGGCATCCTAAAATCCAGCCCCTCCTGACGAGCATCCATGGGACGGGAAGGAGCAGGGACCCATGGAGGGGGTGCAGGACCCTTCTGCCAGCTCAGTGAGGGCTGAGAGCTTGATTTAAAACCTGCTTTTAAATTCTCATGTAGTTCAGGGCTGTTGTTACCTTTACAGGAGGATTTTTGCAGGCCTTTGGGTTTGTTTCCAGTGCTGTTTGTAGGCTACGATGCACTCAGTGCTCTGACATGGGAAGCTTTGCTCGAGGCCGCCGAATTCCCTGTTGTAGGGTGGTGCTGTGTCTGATGCTCAAGTCTGAAATTCGGGTAGTAGCTGCTGAACAAAGCCACTTTGCAAATGTAATTCATGTGTTATTTTTGTTTAGAGTATTTACTACAAATGCAATAATTCCTTTGGCTTAGCCTCACGTGGTGCTTTGCTGCTTTCATAGCCTGGTTTTGTTGTACTGGGTTAAATCCTGAATTCAGCTCTGATCTCTTCCTTGGTCTCAAATGTGAAAGTGCTCTTCCCTTTCCAGTAACTGGTGTGGTTTGGGGAATCAAGATCCGAAACCGAATCACTTCTGTTGGCTTAATCCTGCCTGAAAGCCCTGCTGAAGTCTTGCCTCCTGGGTAGTTACTGCAGAGAGCTGATGAGTTTGAAGAGCTGTGTCCTGATGAGGACCTATGGAGGTGGCATTGGTCTTGCTTTTTCATTAAGGTTCTCATTAAAAGAGCTTTTAATTTGATGGAGCCCATTGCGAGTTGCTAAACACTCATCTGCGGTGGCTGTGCCCTTTCCCAGACTCCTCCTGTGTTTGTGTTTTGGGGTGTGAGGCCACCACCAAAGGCTGTATCCCTTCAGGCCGGTTTCGGTGTGATGGTATGATGGTGTTGCAGACCGGCAGGACCTGTGACTGCCGATGCTCTGGTTTTGCTGGGTTTTACTGGGATGGCTCTAGAGGTTCAAGCTCTGCCGGCTTCTCTCCCGTTGCTGGTGAGAGGTGGTTGGGGTCTGCACACCCAAAACAGGTTGGCATCGTCGTGGCGAGGGCTTTGAGCATTGCTGGTGTGTCATAGCATCGGTCTGCAGAAGCCTGAAACAAGCTAGAAGCAGTAATTTTTCCCACAGTGCATAATTCAGTGATGGCAGGGAGTTTAACAGGGGGCCTGGAGGGGACACAGTCACTGACGGGGTCTCCTTTGTGTTGCTGTGCAGGATGAGGTGTCCTCTACCTTGCTGTCCTGTGGGGGTGTCACTGTGGGTACCCTGTTTTCTCAGCTTGCCCTTCTAGGAAACATTTCCCAATCGAGCAGGGTAATTTTGCAGCCAATGTCAAAAGCAGCTGAGCGACTGCGGGAGAAACAAGCCAGGACAGGGAGCTGGGGGCGTTGTGAGCGAGAGGCAATTAAAGCCCGAACTGTATTTCTTCACCCAGCTCTGCTTTAATTCCTTGCTCTTTCCATGCATAAACAGCAGCACTTCCCTGCGCTGAGCAGCCTGGTAATGTTTTGGTGTTGCAACGGAGTTAATCTCACCGGGGAATTAATTATTGACCCCTCTAATGAAGACTTATAGCTCTTTATGGCGTGTTGTGTTAAAGATGAGTAACTGAGGCCTCTCTCTCCGTGTGTTTTGTTGCAGACCAGGATGCAGAGCCTGCAGCCGGACCCCAAAGCCCAGTACAGGAGCGTGTACGAAGCTCTGAAGAAAATTGTCCTTACCGAGGGTTTCTGGAGGCCTTTACGTGGGATTAATGTCACCATGCTGGGGGCTGGCCCTGCCCACGCCATGTACTTCGCCTGCTATGAGAAAATGAAAAAGTCTCTAAGCGATACCATCCAGCACGGAGGGAACAGCCACTTGGCCAATGGTATTTTAGGGTTTTTCCATTAAAAACTTGCAATTAATGGTTTGTCCCTTGCTTCACACACTCAGCCTGGCATCCTTCACTGCTCTGCTCCTGAGTGATCGGCTGTGTTCAGGCTGCTGCTGTAAATACCCACACGGGAGATTTCTGCACTACTCTTTAAAGTCAAATTATTCTAGAGGTGTTCAGATGCAGCTCAGGCTAAATCACCTAAACCTGCTGAGCTTTGCAGTACAAGTTGGTCCAGATATCTCCCTTGGAGCTCCAGCACTGCATCCTCTGTATGCTCGCATGTTTTCTTAAAGATTTTGCTTCTACCAGGAAGGCTTTTGCTTTTAGGTCCAGCAACAACAGCAGAACCCCTCTAATTGAGCAGCTGGGTGGTAGTAAAGGGTTTGTGCAAAGGACATTTCTGGTCCTTGATGGCAGGAATCTGCCACTTGACTTAACACAGGGTGTATGCTATCCTTCTGGCTTGCTGCTTTTTGCTGGTAATACGCTTTGCCTTTCAAGTAGCTACAGGTTTTCAGCACCACTGGGAGAAGCGTTAATGAGAAATGACCCAAAGTCATTTGGGCAAGAGAGAATTTGAGATGGAGACCTACATCAAAGGCGAAGGTGTGGCGTGAGAGGCCGACTGCAGGATGGTTAATGGCTGGCTGGATGTTGGCAGGATCTGTGCAATTAGTGTTTAAAACGAGACAGAGTAAACTGACCAAAATGCCTAATGATGGGTGCGCTGAGCCAGTTCCGAGTATTTCTTTTTTTGAAGGATGCCTTTGTGCCTTGCAGGTATCGCTGGGAGCGTGGCCACGCTGCTGCACGACGCGGTGATGAATCCGGCTGAAGGTAACGAATGCCCTGGGCTTTGGGGAAGGGCTGCACCCCCTTACCTTGGGAAGGCACCCAGGGCACCCCATGCCATCTCAGCCCTTTGCTTTAGTGTCTCTGCCCAGCATTTAATGCGCTCAGACAGGGCAGTGTAAGGACATAAATTCTGCCTGGCCATTTTCCCTTGCTTGCAGAGTGTCTGTGTGGTGTGTCATGACTTTCCAGCAGAATTGGTTTCACTGTCACTACCTCGATGCTGTCACCACATCCTTACTGCAGGGCTTGTGGGGCTGCTGAAGCTTTGTGCTACCCAAACAAAACCAAGCTCATTTGTGGTGTTAGATGAGTGCAGCAGCCGGTGGGACCTCCCTGGGTAGAGTCTGGTGTGGAGGGGACTGACAGTGAAATGCAGCTAAAATGATGACAATTAACTGAATTGCTGGCTATTTGGTGTTAATGTATTGCACTTCTGAGTTGGCCCAAAGTCAGGTTTTTCCAAAGGAAAAAAAGTGTCCCTGGTGTTTAAAGTCCTTTAAATCATATCCTGATGAACTGAATTAATTGGTGTTCTGCTTAAGTGAATGGGAGTTGTTCCATTTCAGTACTGGGACTGTGGGTGAGGTCTGTTACCCTTCCCAAGTGATGCACAGTTACTTAAATACTTGATTACCTTCCTGCCCTTGTCCTCTTGGTGCATCAGTGTTTCCACACAGCGGCTCTGCATCCTCACAGATGCACCTGAGGGTCCTTACCAGTCCTAGTGCCCTTCTAGCTAGAAGTAAAAGTTCATTAATTAAGCTTGAGGAGAGGAATGCATTAGCCTGTGGAAGTGGAGCACTGTTGAACAAGGGCTGAGCTCTGATCTGCTTCTGTCTCTGGGTGTGTTGAGCTTTTTGGGAGGCACTGAGCGGGTTGGGGAAGAGTGTATTTCCTTGTACTTACTGGGTTTGTGTCATAGCGGCTTGGACTGGGAAGGGGAGGTTGGGTCTGGATGGCTGGGACCTGGAGCAGGGTTCACTCTGGATGTTGCGATGACCAAGAAGGATGTGTCTTGGCTAACAAGTCTTTATCTTCCTATGTCTGTGTTGCCCACCCTGCACCCATCACCTACACCAGTGGTGAAGCAACGGATGCAGATGTTCAACTCCCCCTACAAGTCCGTCCTGGCCTGCGTAAGGACAGTGCAGAAGACGGAGGGGTTCAGTGCCTTCTACCGCAGCTACACCACCCAGCTCACCATGAACGTCCCCTTCCAGGCCATTCACTTCATCACCTACGAATTCATGCAGGAGCAGATCAACCCGCGCCGCGAGTACAACCCCCGCTCCCACATCGTCTCCGGGGCCGTGGCAGGGGCCGTGGCCGCCGCCGCCACCACCCCCCTGGACGTCTGCAAAACCCTGCTCAACACCCAGGAGAATGTGGCCCTGAGCTCCGTCAACATCAGCGGGCACCTCTCGGGCATGGTGAACGCCTTCAAGACTGTCTATCAGCTGGGGGGCGTTTCGGGCTATTTCCGAGGGGTGCAGGCGCGGGTCATTTACCAGATGCCTTCGACGGCCATCGCCTGGTCCGTCTATGAGTTCTTCAAGTACTTTCTCACAAAGCACAAGCTGGAAAAAAGAACGTCCTTGTGAAAGATGCCTCGTCGAGGGCCAACGCAAACCTCCACGTCTCCACATGTGCCTGAGCAGCCGACGCCGGGGCTCTGCCCACCAAGGGTTTTTGGTGGATTCGCGGCTGGCGTCCGCTTTTCCCTCCCCGGGGAAGATTAAAGCAGCCCTCAGCCACGTGTTCCCTTCCTCGCTTCAACAGTGACATAGTTTATAAAGACTTAATATATATATTTAATAACTTTATTTTGGAGAAGTGAGAGTGCTAACTGATATTTTTGCCTGAGTACATTTGAAGATGTAGTTTACTCCTCACCAGAAGGCTTAGGTTACACAGCCTAGGCTGTTTATTTTCTCTTTTTTTTTTTACAGCAAAGAAGCAAAATATCCAGTCACAGAACTTACCTTTTATATAAATATAAAACAGATGGATAATGTTTATCCTTTATTTTTCTATGTAGGCATTTGGGTTCTTTTTTAAAAATACTATTACAGCTAGATGCTAAGCTGTTTAAAAAGGGCTAAATTCCTCCATCCTGTGTGAGGAAGACACAAAAGCATTTATTTTTATAGCCAGATTGGCTTTAATTATACAGCATTTAGCTCCCGAATGGTGGCCTGGGTTCTCATGTGGGTGTCAGGTACTTGGTAGCCCCTTGAGACCTGCGGGGATGGGGGGAAAGGAATGGGGACCCCACTTTGGGGAAACTGCAGGACACCAAGGAGGGGCACCCCAAAAATACCTGGTCACACTGAGGGAGAGGGGAGGAATCTAGCAATTCCATTTTCTACAAGGAGACTCTTTAAAAAAAGAAAAAAACAAAGATTTTAAATAATGTTATTTTTTGCAAACGCTCTTTTTAAAGGTACATTTTAATGGTGTGTGAGAGCTGAACAGCCTTCATCCCCCCCTTAATTTATTCATACTTCTTTTTTTCACAAAAGAGCCCCAGTCCCGCTTACAGGAGCGACCGTGCGCCCCTTGACTTCTGATGGGGTCGAAATGGGGTGCACGGAGCTGCTCTGCTCCCGGGGATGGGACTGGAGCTTCTGTTTACAATTTGGCTACCGAGTCGCCCGGGTGGCATCCTGGCAGGGCAAAGAGCCTGGGGAAGATCTTGGAGCCACCTCGCAGCCCTTGTTTGATGATACGCTGCTGCTCGTCTCTTTTGGGGAGGAAATAATCGACCTGGAGAGGTTCTTTGTGCCATAGGTTGGGTTTTTATTTTTTGCAAACCTGAGCTTTGTGGTACCTGCAGCTTTGTGGTACCCGCAGCTTTGTGGTACCCGCTCAGGAAGGGTTGGCAGCTTTGCATCCCCTGGGAATGCCTCATCCAAACCAACAAGCATCCTTTGGCCAATGACTTGGGTGATCGGTAGCTAACGAATTTATAAGGAAATTATAATTTAAATATAGGTTATGGGCCAGTGATTGGCAAATCTCCATCCTCCCTGGAGCTGATGTCTCCAGTTGGTACCATCTCCCTGCTGCTGGGGATGGGGCGGCTTGTGGAGATGTGGCCTCAGCTTACTGGGAGGAACTGGGGGGTGAAAATGCAATGCAGGGGGCAGCTTTTGGGCTGGGATGTGTCACGGGGGTGTCCCGTCAGCCAGGATGACACTAAGAGCCAATCCCTCTGCTCCGTTATTTGGAGAAGGGAAACCACAGAGCACCTCTCTGGGTGGTGTCGCATGTGCCTTGTGTAAGAGTGAACCTTGTGCCGCTGTGCAATGAGCTTCTCGATGCCTTTTGTGTCACCTAAACCGAGCGAATCACTGTGTCAAATGCACCCTGTGTCTTAAAAGTGTAAAAACCTTAAGCTTGAGGAAGCTGGAGAAAGCCCTGAGCTCTGCATGTTGAGTTTCTCAAGGTCTGTCAGCCTCGGATGTCTTTTTTTTTTTTAAATTATTATTATTTTCTTACTGACTTTAGAAACTGGAGAGTCGCTAACAGGAACCAGAACTGCACAAAATGTATTTCCATCAGAGATGGGCGCAATCACTTAAAAGGAAAATTTTGGGTCACTTTAATATGAAAAGAGGCAAAAAGTATAGCACAATGTGGAAGGCGACAGCTTTCGGTGCCACCTCAGCAGCTCGGGGTTGTACCGAGCACCCAATCCCCAGCACATCCTCCTCTTCCTCTGCTCGTTTAGCTTTAATATTTCTCATTTCACCTTGGGCGAGCTTCACCTCCCATTTGGAGTAACCTGTGAGTAGCTGGGACGGGGAGGATGGACTTGCCCAGGGGGCAGAGCCTGTGGCTGCGGAGCAACGGGGAGGGCAGCGGCGGTTTTGGAGGGGGAGGTAGCATCCCATTCCCACCACTGGCCAATAAAATACTTAAAAATGAGGTTTTGGGGGGCTAGCGTTCCCATTCTGCAGCTGGGAACGTGCCCAATTGCTCTAATGATTGCAGAGATCTCTTAGATTTAAAATCTTTCTGCTGCCATGCTGGATCCCCAGGTGAAAGCCCCCGTGCCAAAGCCGTCGCTCCTCGTCCCTCCTAGGTTTGCATTTGGACGTCTTGCTGCGAGTCTGAAGTTTTTAATTTAACCTGGTATGTGAAACATGTACTGCTGCTTTGTCTGCAACAAACGCACATATTATTTAAGGGGGAGGATGAGTAACTTTGTCCGCAGTTCTTAATTTTTATGGGTTTTTTTGGGTGGTTTTTTTTTTTGTTGTTGTTGCCTGCCTTGGAATTTAATGTGTTTCCTCACAATGTATATTTAACAACGCAGGAGTTTGTTTGCAAAATGCTGCTACAGTTGTATCACTGGAGCTCAAGGAAATAAAACAGCCTGGATTTTTTATTTGGCCGGCTTTAGGCTCTGTGCTTGTGGCTTTCCATAGGAGGGTGCCCATCATCCCTGGGGGAGCGGTGCCTTCTAGCGTTGCCTTAACGCTTGGCAGGCTCAGTGCCTGCCTGAGTCAGATAAACCCAGTGAATCCCTTCGTCATCACCGTGCAGCAGTTGAAATCTTCCTGGGAGGGGTTTTTGGCCGCTGACATCTGCATCCCTGGGCTTGAGCTCCCTCTAGGAGCCGCTCGAGGGTTTTGAAATGTGGTCCATGATTTGGCTGCCGACGTTTGCAAAGCAAACCCGTGGGCTGGGCTGGGCTGTGCTGTGCTCGGCAGCAAAGTCCCAAATTGGGATTTCCTAAATAAAAGCTCTAAGGGAGCTGCCGGTTTGCTGGGGTTTTGGTAATATTTGCTGCATAATTTGAAGGGAAAACCCCAGAAGGTGTTAAGCTGCTTTAGGTCTTGCTTTCCCCTTCAGTAAAAAGGAAAATACATTCATTTCTGTGGTTTCTTTCCCTTCAAACTGGGCTGAGCAGCTTTGATGGGAGCTGCTGAGCTGCCCCAGAGCCTGGGACTGAGCTGTGCCCAAGGCAAACAGGACCCCAGGGCCTCTTTTCAGGAGGATTTGGGATTCTTGCAGGTCCTTTTCCTCCTTTTCACCTCTAATAAACCTGGCAGAAATGCTTGGTCCTTGCTCCAAATCCAGCATGAAACCCAGGTTGTTTTAAAACAACATTTCAGCTCAGACAGCTCTGTGCATCTCCGATTTAAAACGAAGGGTCTGAAACTCCTTGGTGTCAATCTCCAGCCTTAAAAAAGCTGGAGCTGGCCTGGAGGGTTATTTTGGGAGCAGCCTTGTTTAATTTTGGCAAAGGGGATGGAGCATAATTTGTTTCCTAGGGTTTATTTAGGAAATGTCAGGTTTGGAAGAGATGCTGCTCCCCAGGGCATCACCTCTCAGTGATACAGGAGGGATTGATTTCAGCATCTCCCCAGGGCAGCAATTAAAAGATGCACCTAATATCCTAAAAAAACCCCTGATTTTTCTCAGCTGTTCTGCCCTTTCTCTTTTCCTTGTTTTTGTATTTACTTCATTTTAATCCTGAATGAAAAACCAAGGAGGTGCAACGGAGCATTGATGTGCTGGGGTGGAGAACGCGCTGCCTCGCCCAGCTGATGAGCTTGAGAGACAAGATCAAGAGATAAAAGTGCTATTTGTGCTCAGCAAAATGTTTGGGACAGGTTTCTATGTCTATTTGCGTTGTGGAGTAAATATTTAAACCCCCCTTCTCCCTTTGTAGTGAGCATGTGTAATCCTGGAAGGTATGTGAGACACGTCTGAAACACTAAATACTGTTTTTATATGGAGGACCCCTGTATTTATTATAGTCACCATTCAGCTCAGTCTTATCTCTGGTAATTCCCCCAAAAAAGTGAGAAATGTCCCTAATATGTGCACAGGAGGGGATTTTTGTGCTGGGGTGATACGAGGTTACACGGGACGTGAATTACCCAAATTGCTGATAGCGCCTATTCCTGTCCGTCCGTATCTTCCCTATTAGACCTAGGCACACTATGGGATTTTTACCCCTGAATTACTCAAGGCTGCCAATTAAGCCTATTGAAATAAAGGAAAAACACCCAGAAGAACTAAAAATGCACAGAAAAAGATGCTGCGCCCTTGCTGATGCCCTGGGAGAAGCTTTTCTTGCCTGCTTGAGAGCAAGGCATGGCTGAAACCCTTCACCTTTGCATGGTGAGTAATTCAAACTTCCTATATTTTCTTTGGTTTTGGTTTGCATAAAACTTCCTGAACTGCTTATTTTATGCTGCGTCCTCCTGATGCTGCCAGTAATAATGGAAAAAGTGGCTGTTTATTGAGAGAAATGGAGATATGTCCAGTAGGATATCGTGGGGTGGCTGCAGCACCGGGAATGCTTGGGCTAAGCCCCAGTTTTCCCAGTAGGAGAAGGCTGCAGTTGGGAGAAGGGGATGGTTTTCCTTGGATGGAGGGTCTGGGGATGATTTTTTCTTGAATGAAGAGGCTGGGGATGGTTTTTCCTTGCATGAAGAGACTGGGGATGGTTTTTGCCTGGATGGAGGGACTGGGGATGGTTTCTCCTTGAATGAAGGGGCTGGGGATGGTTTTTCCTTAAATCACAGAATCCCAGAATCCCAGACCGTTAGGGATTGGAAGGGACCTCCAAAGCTCATCCAGT